ATGGATATACAGTTAGTTCCCAGTAAACTGTGAAATCACCATCTTCAGCCATGCACCCACAGGAGTTTTGTATGTTGGCCACTCAGTCCGCTGGCAGTCTACAGGAGGAAAAGCAAGGCTTACAGAAGGAGGCTTCTTCAGACAGAAGCCGCACCAACAGCTCGTTGCATCAAGATGAATGGGGAACCATCCCAATAAACACAATTTATTTATTCATTTTTTTCTTTTTGGGTCACACCCAGCAATATTCAGCGGTTACTCCTGGTTCTGCACTCAGGAATTACTCCTGGTGGTGCGTGGGGGACCATATGGGATGCCGGGGATCAAATCCAGGTCAGCTGCATACAAGGCAAATGCCCTACCTGCTATACTATGGCTCCAGCCCCTACTTAGTCATTTTTAAAGCATACAGTCACAAGTTTAAATCCCCGGCGTCTCACACGTCAGTGGTAATCCTGGTCATTCTGCTGTTTGTGGCTGATAGTGATTTCCAGCTTTACCAGTCACATGTGTGTGGGTGTGACCCCTAACATGGCAAATCAAATCATGTGTGAGTGTCACTGCTAGGAAGTGCAACCTCTGGTGATGACATGTGTGAGCATCAGTGACCTCTGATGAGTACCACGAGTGAGCACATGACCATGGGCCTTATTCACACTGCTCCTCTTGACACTCTTAGTTGTGTGCAAGTGTCACCACTGAAGGAGTGCAAAGCGTGGTCAGCACCCTGGCTGAGTGTGTGAGCATCACATTCTGGCCTGTAATCTCAGGCAGGCACCACAGCTAGGCATGTGCACAAACCCTGGTCATTATTGGAGGGGCTGGAGGGAGACAACTGGGTAGGAGATAATGGGGCAGGGGCTGGGGGGAATTATTGATTTATTCTGAGAATCTAGAATGTCTAAGTGTGTGTGTGTGTGTGTGTGTGTGTGTGTGTGTGCACGTGCACGCACACACGTGTGTTTCTGAGACTTGAACACAGGATCTTTCACACATACAAAGCAAGTATTCTACCACTGAGCTACATCTTAGTCCCTGGGATTTATTTTTAATTGGTGACCACACCCAGCAGTGCTCAGGGCCTCCAACTGGCTCTGCACTCAGATATGCATCCTGGTGGGCTTCAGGGATCATATGGGATGTTGAGAATAGAACCCAGGTCAGCTGCATGCAAGGTAAGTGCCCACCCGCTGTGGTATCTCTCCAGCTCCGTTTATATTTCTTGCCTAAGATCACAAACCCAAGAACTGTGGAGAGAAACCAGCTGGTTTTGGGCATGTTTCAGGGAGCGGTAATTCCAGGAGTCGCCCCTGACCTAGTGTGAAGATGGCACCTGGAAGCCCTCTTGGAATGAGAACTGCTGCCAGTTTCCTTCCTTGGAGGGTAACTTGGTTCCTTTGCCTCTCACCCAATCCCTTTCCTTCCTTCAAATAAAATCAAACAAAGCTAATCAAAAATGCGGCAGAGGGGCTGGAGCAATAGCACAGCGGGTAGGGCGTTTGCCTTGCATGCGGCCGCCCTGGGTTCGATTCCCAGCATCCCAAATGGTCCCCTGAGCACCACCAGGGGTAATTCCTGAGCGCAGAGCCAGGAGTAACCCCTGTGCATTGCCGGGTGTGACCCCAAAAAAAAAAAAGCGGCAGAGCCATCAGGAAGACCCATTGGTATTAATAACTTCAAGGACTCAAGTGGACGGTTAGTAAGCCTGGTCCTCGAGGTATTAACACTCAGAGTAATGTGCATGAGAACCAAAAATGCCCAGAACCAAAAAGCTTCAGGATTCACATGAGTCATTGTACTTCTGAGAAACTGAAGTTCTTAATTCTTTGTCCTTTTTATTTGCTAAATCTCAGCACGATGTGGGCTGTTGAAGTGTTTAGGTCCTCCTTCTCTCTGGGGTTAACCAGATTTTAATGTCACTTGTGTTCATACTCTAATGGAATCCTCATGTTCCAGGAACATTTTCCTTTTTTGGGATCCGAATTTTTTGGTGCTGTGCCCCTCCCCGGTCCCGCCCTGTACAATCCACAGTGATGCCACAAACTGAACCCAGGGCCTTACAGGTGCAAGGTGTGTAAAGCTGAGCACAGCTGGGGGCTGGAGATACTAGAGCAGGTTAGACACTTGCCTTGCACGTGGCTGACCTGGGTTCAAACACCAGCAATCCAGATGGTCTCCCTCCCTCTTCCTCCCTCCCACCCAGCCTATTTGGCCAGGAGTAATCCCTGAGGGATCCCTGAGCACAGAGTCAGGAGTAAGCCCTGAGCATCACTGGTTGTGGCCCCCAAACAAACAAATTATGTGAAGAAATTGGGCTCTATTGATGATTGGCTGAGAAACTTGTAAGAATCATGTCTGTTGCCTTGTGAAGATCACAGAAGTGGAAAAGAAACAATTACTTGGGCTGACAGTCATAACTAAATTGAGTGAAGACCAATGCAGAGTACAGGAACCCCAATAAGATGACTTAAATAAAAACATGTTCACTAAATGATGCCTATGTTTTTTTTTTTCTTTTTGGGTCACACCCAACGATGCACAGGGGTTACTCCTGGCTCTGCACTCAGTGCTCTTACTCTTGGCAGTGCTCAGGGGACCATATGGGATGCTGGGAATTGAACCTGTGTCGGCCATGTTGGCTGCGTGCAAGGCAAATGCCCTACCCGCTGTGCTATCGCTCCAGCCCTGATGCCTATGTTTTTAAACAAAATTAAAAAAAAAATTTCTTTACACTAAAAAGAAAAAAGTAAAAAGCTGAGCATACCCCTGGTGCCAACTTGACTCGATGGGTATTACAAGCTAGAACACTGAGGACATTTTAAGTCTATCATCAAATCAGTTCTTGGGACAAAATTTCAGATCACTGTACTTAAGGTCAAACTGAATTCAAAGTAAAAAAAGAATTTCAGCAGGAGCTACTGAACTGAATGTAATACCGGAAGTTTCGAGATACTTTACTTGCTTTAAAATCTTGTATGACTCACTCTTGGTTTCAATTTCTTCAGTTTACTCATTTTAATGAGGAGGTTGGACTAAACAGTTTGTTTTTCTCAGCTTTAACTTTGGGATTTTCATCATCTTTTTGGGTCTTTGTAAGATTGGGACAACATAGGCTCACCCTGAAAGGCGATGAAATTCTCCTTAATGTTGGTGAATATTCTCACATTGAGCTCCCTCATAATTAGACTCTGACAATGACTTTAGCTTTCATATCCATTTCAGAAGCCGAGTAATTTCTTCTTAATGTTTATAATGACTGAATAGTGCTCATTTGTATTACTAGATGTTACTAAAAGTTTGTTTCCTATTCTTCAGCTTGGAAAAAAATTACTGGAAAGAGAAAAGACACATTTCATATTTTAAGAAATAACCAGGAAGGGAAATAAAGTTGGAGAGGAACCAGGTGAAGGAATTCCTGTTGACCTGCATTACTGTCACCTTCTTTGTATGACAAAGAAAATTGGCGCATTTTTGTTTTGGGGCCACACCTGGTAGTCCTCAGGGCTTACTCCAGACTGTGTGCTCAGGAATCACGCCCCCACAGTGCCCAGGGTGCTCAGAGGCCCATATACGTGTCAGGAATCAAACTGGGCTCTGTGTGCAAGGCAAGCACTTATGGTTGTACTCTCAGGCCCCATTCCTTGAGTTCGGGGACTGTTTTCCAGAAGCAGGGACTGTACTGAGGTTTCGTACTGTTATCTCGTTTTTTCCTCAAACTTGGCGTGTCTGGGTAGGCACTGAGAGGGCTACTCCAGGCCCCACGCTCCAGCCCTGCTCCTCCGTGGCTTCCAGACAGGGCTGCCACGGGACCTAACCCACCTCCAGCATGCAGTGCACTCTAGTCCCTTGAACCACCTTTCCGGTCCTGTTTTTTAATTCCTATTTGGTAGTGGGACAGAGGTAGAATACCTCTGGAAAGCTCTTAACCCTAAACACTATGGGTCACTTGTTTTAATCCTGTATGCTGTTAAAATTATTATTTTTTAATTTTTTGATTTTGGGCCACACCCAGCAGTGCTCAGGGATGACTACAGGCAGGACTCACGGGACCGTTTAAGGTGCTGGGGGATGGAAGCCGGGTCAGGCGCCTGCAAAAACAAGCTATTTTGCTCTCTGCCCCACGTTGCTGAAATTTCTTTTGGAAAACAGTCCGAACTCGCGTCAGGCGCATGCAAAGCCAGCTATCTTACTATCTTTCTGGCCCGTGCTGCTGAAATTGTTTTGGAAAATATAGTCCACGGGGAATCTGGAAGATGAGGGTCTACCTCTGCGGCTATTTTTAGGCAAGGACCCTACCCTCTACCGTCTCGCCGGTCGCCCCCCCATCCTTGGATGTTAAATACCAACGAAGCCATGCCAAGTTTTTGCGACCTTTATTCGGACAGGGTTGCTCTAGGTGGAGGCTGCGTGTGCGGTGCGCCGGGATCTGTGACTGACGTTTGCGTCGGCTACGCGAGGTTACTGTTGCATAACAAAAACAAGCCAAGTAGTAATCACGAGCTCGGGTGGCCGGGACCCCGGCATTCACGGCAGCCGGGAAACGCCACCTGGACGGGAATGCTGCGACCTCCTTCCAGCTGGGGGGGAGGGGGCGGGGGGAGCGCACCAGCCCCGGACGGGAGGACGAGGTCCCGCGCGCACGTGGGCACTTGACCTTGTCCAGGTCTCCGCGCCTCCCGGGGACTTCTTCCTCACCTGCAAGATGGTGGCTTTGCCCGAAGCCAAAATTCCAGCGGTTCTGCCCCACTCCCCGACTCGCCCCCTCCCCGAGAGGGTGGGGCCGGTGCACGCGGCGGTCGCAGCCCGGCCCCCGTCCCGCCGCCCCCGTCCTCCTCCGCCGCCTCCGCCTCGGGCCCCCCCCCGCCCCTCGCGCCCGGGCGGTGAGGTCACGCGCGGGACGTCACGGGGTTGTGACGCCACTGAGGGGCGGGCCTCCGGGAGAGGAAGGGGCGGGGCCCGCGTCGCGCGCTTGCGCAGTGGGCGCGGCGCGGGAGGAGGCGGAGGCGGCGGCCGAGCCAGAGGCGGCGGCGGCGGAGGCGGCGGCGCTGGGGGGGGTGGGAGGGGGGGGAGCGCGCGAGGGCGTGAGTGGCCGAGTGAGTTGAGCCCGATGAGGCGCTGAGAGGCCCCGGGCCTACCTCCGAGGAGCGGGGTCGCGGCGCCGGCCGAGCAGCGGGCCCCCTCCCGGCCCTCCCGCGCCTCCCGCTTCCCCGGGCCCGGCGGCGGCGGCGGCGGCGCGGCGCGGCGCTGAGGAGGCGGGGGAGCGAGTGTCCGGTCCCAGCCATGGAGGGCATGGACGTGGACCTGGACCCGGAGCTGATGCAGAAGTTCAGCTGCCTGGGCACCACCGACAAGGACGTGCTCATCTCCGAGTTCCAGCGGCTGCTCGGCTTCCAGCTCAACCCGGCCGGCTGCGCCTTCTTCCTGGACATGACCAACTGGTGAGCCGGCGCCGAGCGCTGCCCGCGGCCTCGGGGGGCCCCGGGCGGCGTGGGTGGGTGGGTGAGTGGGGGGGGGACGGCGGGGCCCGGGCGGGCACCCGGGGCACCCCCCTGCTCGGGCGCCCGGCGGGCAGCGCCAGCCCCGGGGCGCGTGGGAGACGTCGGGGCACCGAGCGGGGCCGGGCGCGCGGGGAGAGTTGGGGGGCCGGGGCAGTGCGGCCCGCGAGGGGGGACCCCGGGATCCCGCGGGGGACCCCGAGGCCGCGCGGGCTGGGGACCGCGCGGGTGTGTGTGTGTGTGTGTGTGACGGGGGCAAAGACCCGTGCGTGCAGGCGGCGTCGGGGGCGACCCGGGAGGAAGAGAAAAATTCGGATTTCCCGTACCGGGCACGGGAAATCCGAATTGGGGGGATGGGGGAGGAAAGCTCTGGGGGATGGAGTTCGGGAATGGATGGAGGGGGGAGGAGTGGGTGCCGTGCGGGAGACTCGGGAGTGGGGAGCTGGACCGTGCGTGCGTGTGCGCGTGCGTGTGTGTGTGTGTGTGTGTGTATGTGTGTGTGTTCGAGAACGAGTGGGGGACCCGGGGCAGGAGCTCCCAGCGGGAGACCAGAGACGCCCTGGCGGAGTTGTGCGGGATCCGCCAGTGGGTGCACTGCTGGGGACCCCCGCCCGGGCCTGAGGTCTCGGTCCCCTTGTCTGGGGGGGGCGGGGGAAGGCGCAGGTTCCTGCGCCCCCACATGCTTGACTGGACCGTGGGCTTGAGCCCGGAGACGCGGCGGGGTCGCGAGGTGTTTTGGGGAACTGGAGACCGCGCCTTGGGCTGGGAAACAAGTATTTTGGGGGGCCCTTTGGAGGCCCCCAGTAGAAGCCTGCGTGGGGCCGAAGAGCAGGGGCGCGCGGGCTGAAGGAGCTGGCTGGCTTTGGCCGGCGACCTTGTTTTTGATAAGAGGGGGTCCCGTCCACCTCCACCCCCAACAACCAGAGGGTGCTGAGTTCACTCGGGGTGAGTGGGGAAGTGGAGGCCGTTGGAGTTCCTTGGAAAGAACTTTAGGTGAGGCAGCTCGTCTTTCTTTGGTCAAAAAAAAAAAAGTCAGGGGATGAGTGCCCTTTGCTCTCTGTTGAGCATCTGGTCCCCTGACCTGTGGAATCTTGTTTCTTTTGGCATCTTTCGTAGGGCCGGCTTGTCCCCTGCCTTCCCTGTCCGCAGAGTGCCCGAGGAGGGGTTGGCAGCTGCCCTACGTGGCCCCCTCCCCAGCCTGGTGCACGTCTTAAGCCTGGGCACACATCTGGGGTGATGTGTGATTCCCCCTCCCCATCTCCCGCCGTTCTCTGCAGCACCCTCGTTGGGCCGTATCATTTTATCCTTAAAGTTGGTAGTTTCATCTAGAGTAGGGTTGTATTTTTCCAGTGTCTAGAAAGCTTCCATGAGTTCTTCAACGCAGGAAGTAGCGTTTAGAATTAGAGAAGCGCTGGTGATAACGCTGCTACCTTTTATTTACAGGATCACTCAGGTACAACTTCGGAGTGAGGGGGTTTACTTGAGAGTGACAGGGATCATGGGAAACTGCGAGGGGAAGTGTCCACGGGTGAAATTCAGAAGTCAGGCTAGACCTTGAAGAGGGCTATTCTCTTGCCAGTCTTTTTTCCCACCCCCAGCTCCTTTTCTTCCTTGTTTACACTAGTACAGCGTAGGAAACTTGGCATATTCTTGCTGCCAGTTTGGTGGGGGAGGATCATTATTTCTTCCCTTCCCCCTGTGAGTGGTAGCATTTAAAACCCTCCCTACTATGTTTTCAGTTCTTTAGAGTCAGTATTTATTAGTACAATTACTACGGCTGCAAAACCTGTGTAATGGATTTTATATGCTTGAGCTGCGTGTTCAACATCTTAAGATTGTTTGTTTTCCGGTGTCGTGAAAGGTGAGACCCAGTGTGGATAAGGAAAAGGAAAAAAAAACTTTAAAAGTCATAGTTTCATCATAAAATTTTTATTTGAAAATTTAAAGCAAATTATTAAACTCGGCGACACGGCAGCATGTATTCTCGTGGCCTGTTATCTCTCTGAAACAAAGTGCGATACATTTTTACCGAGCCATTACAAATGGATTCTTGGTTTTAAAGCAGTTGGAACTTATTAAGTGATAATTCGGCTTTAAGCCACATTGCCTTATTTTTCTGGTTGGAGAACTTTTGGTCTTTGTATTGTAAAATGAAAAGTCATTGTCAGTTGGAAAAGTCCGGCTGGTTATTTTCTGATGAAAGCAGTTTTATTCCATAAACCAATAATGTATTTTGATTTGCAGTTTTATTCCAAAAACCAATAAAGCGTTTTGATTTTTTTCATTGACTTGGTTAAATTTGTGCTGTTAGATTTCAGTTTTTGACAAATACTTATAATGAATAAAATCTGTGCTCATGGGCATAAAGACATAGATGAAATATTTGTGATGTTTAAATAAATATCAGAGGCTAATAAAAGACGTTTTTAAGTGTCATTTAATGTCTGCCTTTGGAAACTGTTCAGGAATCCTAATATATGTTGGCAAAATGTCTTTCAAATTACTGTGGCAAGCTTGTTTTTCAGATGATTAACCTTCCTGTGACGTCACAGGTGCCTGCCTTGGGTTGGAATAAATAACCACCATTCAGTTATCGGATGGCTTAAGAACTAATATAGTTAATTAAAAGTCAGCATTTTAGAATGAAGGCCATGAATTTTCTTTTCTTGTGAAGCAGGGTAGTTTTTATTAAAACTTACTTAGAAAGAAGAATGTGTTTGTGAGAGAACTCAGGCTTCTCCAGAATTGGAAATAAACAAGCGAAGAGACAAGTGAGATATGGGCTTGAAGAACAAGCCGAAAGCCAGGAATTTTCTAAAATTTAAGTCTAAATGAAGGACTTGCCTTTGCTTGTAAAGTAAGCTTTTATATTTTGTTGTCAGTATAAAAAACTTTCTAAGAAGCTGTTGAAAAACTAAATTGGATATTTTGACTTGGTAAATTATCTACGTTATTAGTATGTTTGTATATATAGTTGTTTTGTTGTTGTTCTAGTCTTAAGTTGGGTGTGTCTTACATTTTAAAACCAAGTGTAGTTTCAGTTTCAGCAGGGTTTTTTTTTTTTTGCGGGTGGTGGTTATACCTGAGCTGGCAGTCCAATTTCTGGAGATTGGTGGAATTCTGTCTCAACAAAAGTATGAGTTTCAGTTCCTGTGTAACTATATTAAGGGAAAAATATTGTGAAAAAAAACCCTAGCATTCAAAGTCAGACTGAAATGACTTGTAGCTAAGTAATAAAATTTCATAGGTGAAATAATTTTGAGATACATTATGGACAGTATATCTGGGCTGTGAATATGAAGAATATCTAATAAATAGTCTCCTTAAGATGTCAGAAATCGGGGCTGGAGTGATAGCGCAGCGGGTAGAGCGTTTGCCTTGCATGACGCTGACCCGGGTTTGAATTCCAGCATCCCATATGGTTCCTTGAGCACCGCCAGGAGTAATTCCCGAGTGCAGAGCCAGGAGTAACCCCTGAGCATTGCCTGGTGTGACCCAAAAAGTGAAAAAAAAAAAAAAGGTGTCAGAAATCTATTCAGATCACAACAATTTTTAGAGCTTTTATAAACTATAAAAATTCATATTTTAAGTGTTCAGTTTCTGGGGGTCAGAGTGATAGCACAGCGGGGAGGGCATTTGCCTTGTACGCAACCGACCTGGGTTTGATCCCCGGCATCCCATATGGCCCTCAAGCACCACCATGAGTGATTCCTAAGCACAAAGGCAGGAGTGACCCCTGAGCATTGTGGGTGTGGCCCAAAAACTAAAAAAAAAAAGTTCAGTTTCTGATTTCACATCTTTTAAAGTAGTAGAATGGATTTATAGATATTTTCAAGGGAAACCAATAGGATTAAAAGGATAGTTTTACATAGAATTAAAAAAATTATGGACAGGTGTATATAACGGAAGTCACCCTTTTACCAACTTTTTGTACAGTTAAGCATCGTGTAAGATTTTAAGTTTATTTTTGGCTGTTAAATTCATTTGTCTCTTACGGTTTCTAAGTTAAGTGGGTTCTTTTGAGATCTTGTGTGAATCTAGGAAGAGTATTCATGATAAAACATGATATTAATACTGGTTTCCTTAAAAGCAGTGTGTGTCACACAATAGTTTTAGAAGATGGTAGATGTAGCACAATTTTTTGGAGGGGGAAACCATATCTGGTGGGTTTCAGGGCTTCCTCCTGGCTCTGTGCTCAGAGATCACACCTGGCCAGGCTTATAGAACTCAGGTTGGCTGTGTGTAAGTGTTCTACCTGCTGTACTATCATGCAGCCAACACATTTTCCAGAAGGTTAGGGTTCTTGCAGTGTGTGTGTGTGTGTGTGTGTGTGTGTACAAGGGATTGAACCCAGGGCTTCATTCATACAAGTCATGTGTTTCATCTCTTGAGCTACATACCTGTTCCCTTGGGCATAATTTCCCCCTACTTTTTCATTCTTTCTTTGGATGGCACACAACAAGTGTAACTCTGAGTGAAATGTGGAGTGTGCAGATTAACTTTTAGTTTTAAAGAAATATAGTAAAAAGTATAATGCCCTGGAGGTAATGATGTGACTCAATGGTAAAGTGCTTGCCTTGCTTGCATGTGACCTGGGTTTGATCTCTACATGCAAAAACAAAACAAAACCAAAAAAAGCCCTATTTTCCTGCAGGAAATCTTTTTACTGTCCACTTGTTAGGGACTGTCAATCAGGCTATTTTAACTGTTGTGTTTTGGACAGACCCTTAGTAGAGCAAAAGAGGACCTTGATTATAATTATTGTCGAGTAGTAAAAGATCTTGTCTGAAAAATGCTTGGAATTTTGGGATAAAAAGGAGGAAACAGTCATCTGTTAATACTGAACTATATATAATATTAAAGTGTCAAAAAAGATAGACATAGATTGAATTGAATCAAATCAGTGATTTACAAAGCTTGAGTGACTACTACTAACAAATTAC